TTTTCCATAAACCCCCGCCGCCCGAAACAAAATAAAACTTAAAAATCAACCCCCACCCACCCACCTCAATACCGCGGGTTGATCAAAGACTCAGTGCTATGAATCATTAGATAATTTTTATATCCAAGTGACATTTTACAACTCCGATTTTTTTTTCAACTTTAAGTAAGTGATGCTCTAACAGATAAACAGAAATGAACTTGGGGTGCTGAAAAATGCCTTTAAGTGAATCTCTTGACTTCACCTGTTTTATGTTAACCTGTTAGCTCATGTTGCCGTAGTACTGAAGCCCTTACACTGGTTTATCATCCTAAGACATGGTAATAATACGGCTTTACCTCGGCGACTTTCATTCCGTTTCCCTCATACTTGCATTGTACTGACGTGATTCAGTGAAAAGGGGCAGGATGGGATGCATGGGAACAAGTTCGTGAAAAGATGGACAATCATTTTATAAAGCGGTTCATCGAAATGAAAAAAAAAAAGAAAGCGAAAATAGTGATTTAAAGAAACGAATCGGTGCGGGGGAATAAAAGGTGAAAGGACAAGGTCCATAGCGTACTTTACTACTTTAAGTAAAGAACGCCATGACAAGATCAGTCGCGTACGAAGCCGTGGTTTTATTTTCCTGAAATTATCCGGTTAACCGGATTTTCTACTCGTATCTCGCCCGACTCCACTAACCACCGTCTTGCCGAGAGGGAGGGAGGGAGGGAGAGAGAGAGACAGACACCTCAAGCGGTGATCAACTGCGGCGGTCGCCCTGCTCAACTAACGGCCAGCAGTTGGTAAATTACTCCTTGCCCCTAGCCCAAGCTAGGTACGACGTAGAGTTGCGCGCGCGCGTGTGTGTGGTGTGTGCTGTTACGTCTTTTATCCACTTCGCCCGTGTGAATGGATTTGGCGGAGAACGCTTGGAGACAACGTGGCTCAATAACGTGGTACCGGTAGTTTATTTATCGCTGGTGTTTGTGGAACAGTTTTCTTCTCTCGACCACATTATATCGACGATACTTGAAGGATTATATCTGCATTGCCAGACACGTGTCCGCAGGAAGGAGCTTCTTTCGTTGTTACAGGTACAAATGTACTGTCTGTAAAGTTTGTCTTTCTTAAGAGTTTTACGGCACTTTGCAACACACTATGGTCATATAAGTGCCGAAGAATGGAGGTGTTACAAGAGAGTAACAAATACAAAAAAGAAGGGGAAGAAGTAAGGACGATAGATGTTTGATAGGAAAGAAGAAGCAAACCACACCAGAGCACCCGCCAACCACCCGCTCTGTATGGTTTTAAGTCCTCAGTGAACAATTGCGGTAGCTTAGAGGGAGTCTCTGTGGAGTAAGTCCTACTTCTTAGTGTCCCACACACTTGTCTCTCCCTGTCTGTCCAACAAAGAAACAGATAAACAAACAAACAGATTAACAAACGAACGAACTAACAGCCCCTCCAGAAAAAAACAACAAAACCTTACGAAATTATTTTTAAACCCAAACAAACAAACCCAGTTTGTTACCTTGTTTTTTTGTTTGTTTTGTTTTTGCAACTACTGTTGGGACGTTGATGTAGTTTATTTCGTTGTTTTCTTTCTTTTGTTTGGAAACTTTTAATACTTTTATATTGAATATGTGACGCGTGACTTTCAACAACCCCGCCCTTTCCGAATTGAAAGGATGCATAGACAAATAAAAACAAACTTTACTTAAGAGGGAAAAACTGGTAAACGTTTACTTTCACTCCCGCATGCAGATACACTGCTTTTGAGGGTCAAAGCGCCGTATTTTTAGTTGCAGAACGTACATATTAAGCGGTTAAATAATTGATGAACATTTTCAAGAACAGTCCAAACATAATATTTGAAAAAAAAATCAAGCATTTAAAGCAACAACAAAACAAAACAAAACGAAAACAATAAACAGCAAAAGCGAAATTATGCTACTAGATCTACGCCTTCGGGCTTAGCGTAATTAAGTTGTAATAATTTGCGACAGATATAACGTGGGCGAAAGTTTGAGTAAAACGGATAAAAATGAACATAAAAACGTGTTATGATATATTAAACAAACCTGAGCATGAGGAGGAAGAGAAAGTTAAATAATACTGGGATATCGCTGAAATGAATGCACGAACATACCAAACAAAACGTCACTAGCTAACAACTTGTGCATTGTTTTCCCAAATTTGTGTGCAGGAGGCTTTTATTCCATTGAGTGAAACTCTCACGATCACATGTGTAGAAACGTCCTTCTTCTACGTTCTCGATCCACCCCCTCTCTATCTCCATTTCTTTCTCCTCACTCCCTCCCTCTGTCTGTCTGTCTGTCTGTCTGTCTGTCTGTCTGTCTGTCTGTCTGTCTGTCT